CAGGTCTCAATAAATTTAAGAAGATTGAAATCATATCAAGCATCTTCTCTGACCACAATGCTATGAAACTAGAAGTCAATCACAAGAACACTGGAAAACACACCAAGACATGGAAGCTAAATAACATGTTACTTTAAAAAATAATAAACACTGAAAAAAGAAGCCATGGTTCCCAGGAGCCCAAACCCTGATCTAGACAGTGATGGAGGGGACCCCTGACAGCTGCGGGTGCCCTAGGGTCACAAGTCCGTGTGGAGCAGGGGGAGGGAGGACTGGGGAAAACTGCTTACATAGAAGAGAGACTGGTGCTTGGTGCCGGGGGCAGGTGTGATGCTGGAAAGATCATCCTGGCCCATGCCTGGCCTGGCCTGGGACGGTAGTCACACCGCCATAATGTCAACGCCGTGCACTGTTTCCAAGCCTCTGGGCCAGCCCTGGGAGAGTTGTGGGGAAGGATGTAAATGTTAACAGCTTTGGCAATGCGAGAGGTTGACGGTGCGGCATGGAAGGCAAGAGGAGATGTTTCAGCCAGTAGATAAAACATTCCTGTTTCTTTTTCCTTTCAGATCGTCCATCTTTAAGAAACAAGTTTGAAAGTTAGGCCAGTAGGTATTCAGCCTACTGTCGGGGGTGTCGGGCATTCAAGAGAAATCAGCCTGTGCCCCGAAGATCTTCTGAAAGTAGTGGGAGCTTCCCCAGAGCCTCTCCTTTGGTCTTCATTCCCCTCGTGTCCAAATTAACATAAATCATGCACATACCTACTTACTTGACTGAACTCTCACAGAATAAAAGAAAGTAATTTTGCTGTCTTGGTGTTTAAATACGAACTATAGCCTTAACAGGCTGCTGCAGTATCCACCACCTGTGTGAGCCCGTGTGCCCAGCGAATGCTCCCCGGGGCTGTTGTGTTCCGGGAAACGGTGCTCGCGTTGGAGGGCACAGCAGGGGGTGGAGGGGGCACCTTTTCACCATAACCTTTCCAGTCTTGTTTTTCTGTAACCCTGGTAAAATATTGCTCATCCAGTGACATTTTCCTGAACTTCCCTGGGATTCCCGTGTCCGTCACAGCTTTCAGAGTCCTCAGGGAAGGCCGGGCGTGGAGCACTAACCGCAGGCCAGCCCTTTCTGCTCGATTGGTTCAGCAAATATTTATTGAACTTTTCCGTGTGCCTGGGCACTACTATTCCCCACAGAGTATGGTTTTGCTCCAATGGTTTCCCGTTTTTCTTGCTTTTTATCTTGTATCTCCTCCCATTTTTTCCTCGCTTTCCCCCCTTGTCTTCCCAAAGTGGATCCTTCCAGTAGGTGTTGCGTCCTCACTGGTGCTGGCAGAGCCGTATTTTTCCTGGGGTCCTTGGTTTTATTATTTTTAGTCCCCTCAGTTCACATCACTGTTGCAACATAATGTGTTACAATACAAATAAACGCTGGTGCTGCTTTGGGGGCATGTGGCAGCGGGGCCCTGAGGGCGGAGCCCCAGCTCCTCCGCTCGGTGTCTGCACTGCCTGGCATGGTGCACTCGGGGTGTCGGTTCCTGTTCCAAAGCACCGTTCAGGCCCTGTCTGCACGGGACTCTCTGTTTCTGATTCCTTTTTTTTCTTAAGTGTCCTATAAAACCTCATTTGGGATGGGACTTGCTGAGAATTCAGCTCGTAAACTGTCTGTTGTCAGACATGATGTCTTAAAGATCATTTTAGCCCTGGTTGGTGTGGCTCAGTGGATTGAGTGCCAGCCTGCAAACCAAAGGGTTGCTGGTTCAGTTCCCAGTGGAGCACATGCCTGGGTTACAGGCCAGGTCCCCAGTAGGGGGCATAGGAGAGGCAACCACACACTGATGTTTCCTCCCTCCCTTCCCCTCTCTCTAAAACAGAATTTTTAAGGAAGTTCATCTTAAAGGTTTTAAGCTTCCTCGTGGCACCAAAAGCCATGTGGTTTTAAATCCTTAATGTTGATAGGAATGATAAACACAATTTATGAAGGAGGAGGTTTATAAGCCAAAGATTATAAACGAAGCTCTAGTGCAATAAATAACGCAAATGTTTTTACCAGGTATTGCTTGGAATGAATGAACCATTGCCAATGCAAGAAACTCCTAAGTAGAACTATAATATGCCTTCAGTAAAAATTCAAATGTTACAGCTTGCTGTTTTCTTAAATATTTTAATTTGTTTTTGGAGAGTGGGAAAGGCAGGGAGAAAGGGAGAGAAATATCAGTGTTAGAAAGAAACATTGATTGGTTTCCTCTCACACATGCCCTAACTGGGGACAACCCTCAACCCAGGCATGTGTCCTGGCCAGGAATTGAACCTGCGACCTTTTGCTTTGGGGGACAGTGCTTAATCAAATAAGCCACACTGGTCAGGCACAACTTGTTTTTTTTTACTGGGCAATATATCTTAGATCACTTACAGGACCAGCAGTTTGAGGTGTATCTTGTTTCTTATGCTGTGTAGTATTTAAACAACCCTGTCAGTACACACTTCCCTTTGTTTGATGGTTCTTGCTATTCTAAATGATGTAGCAGTGAATGTTCCCATACCACATGTATCTTTGCAACCTGTGTCAAAGCAACTATAGGATAAATTCCTAGAGATCTAATGGCTCAAAGAATGACTTCTAGCTTCAGAGTGAGAGCTGACCTTTGGTTTGAAATGTATGGAGATAAATTATACTAGAACAAATCTGTAAATCAGGTTATATCTCCATTTTTAAAAAGGTAAACTTCAAAATTTCACTGCTGCTGCCTGCCAGATGAACTGCGGTCATCTGCCTGCAAAGGCTTTGCTCTTTGCCACCATTCCACCTTTCAGAGCTCTTCCTAGAAGACAGCCCCTGCCAGCTCCTGCAGAAATGGACGTGACAGATGGAAAGCGGTGCCCATTTCACATCCCTTCTGAAGGACAGGATAATGAAAAGTGGAAGAAGCAGAGGGAAGAAATAAAGAGGCTAGGAAGGCTGCCAAGCAATTGGTGGCATAGGTTTGTGGAATTGGTTCTTTAATCCGTGAAAAGAAGAGCTGTGATAAAAAGCATAAAGAACAAAAAATAACTGCTGGCTAATTGAAGACCTGCATTCAAAACCTACAGCAGAATTAGTGCTTGGGGTACACATTAGTTTGTGTTGCCAGAGAGGGTCTAGTGCCTTCACCTGGGGGCTCAGGGTCCTTGCAGATAACTGGCCTCCCGTGCCCATTCTTACCCTTCTCTGGATTGCTAATGCCTTCCCTCCCCATGTTTGTAATATTGCTGACAAACAGATGGCACCTTCTCTGATTTGCACCTCAGAAGCTGTTGCTATGCACTGAAGATGTGTATACACTCACTTTTAAGAGAGACAGCACGCATGTGCTGTTAAGTGAAGCAGAATACAGCAGAATTGCTGTTTGTCTTGGCTGCTGCGGCCCTGGTGGTGCCTAGGAACAGATCCAGCTGCCAGAGAACTGGAGCCACAGGTTCATTGAATGGTGTACCAAGGAAGAAGGGGTGGAGACTTTTTCGCAGAAGATCTCTAAAATGTGAGAATTGTCACCAAAGAGTTGTAAGCTATTTTGAGTAGCTATAGATCCAGGCTGTAGGTGGATAGGAACAGGATGGGAGAAATGGTATGATCAGTAGAGATCAGGTAAATGTGTGAGCTCCTTGGCACACTGTACTTGGTGATGTTAACAAGATAAGCTGTAGGTAGGATGGTTTCTCATCAGATTGGAGAGATATTTATAGCCTGTCTCTCATTATATAATGAAAAGCTACCAGTGGAATAACAGACAACGATAAGGGTGACAGCTCCCTGTTACTTAAGTGAGTTCAGAGATGATGGATTTCACTCCTGCATGAGGTACGGGATACATTTTTCAAAACCAAAATATGGCATCAATTCTAGTCATCTAAAGAAAAACCACAGTGTGGTATTTTATTTATAGTACCATATCTGTCAGTGTGTGTGGGGGGGGGTAGAGGTCAGGGATGAGTTATTTATAATATACCTTAAAGAAATCTGCCCTTCAAATACAAAATTCATCTCTTTCCTCAAATCATCCTTCAGTTCCTTCATTAATCTTTTTTCTTTAAAAAAAAAAGTGGAACGAGATCTGCAAGTCATCAAGGTGACCTTTATTCTTTTAACCTGTCCCTCATTTCATTTCCAGCTGTTTTCCAATAAGACAGCTGGGCTGCCCTGTCTCACCCTACTCTTCCCTGCAGTTGTTGCAGATCCCAGATCTCGTAGGTTTTAGAAAACTCACTCCTCAGTGGGTAGTAGCATCTCAGTTGATTACGGGTGGTGTGGATTCCTTTAGGTTTGTTTAAAGTTCAAAACCGGAAGTGAGCAGGGTTAGCAACCCATCTGGGATATAAAAGACATTTCCACAGACTGGTGCCCTCTGAATGAATGAAGAAATTAAATTCTTAATCACAACTAAGCTAGATGCTTGTGAGTTTTCTTGTTTTATAGTTCTTGACTCTCTTATCTGTGAATTTAAGATCTTGACAACTTGGATTCACTTTGCTGTTGTGTCCTAACAGTTAAAAATCTCAGTTAAAGCTATAGTATAGAATCTTATGAAGGGAAAATATATTGCCAGAAAAAAACATAACAGAAAACAGATAAAACTGGATAACATTTACTCTCCCACAGATCATGATCCTGTGGAAAGGAGTTAAGTGCAGCTGCTGCTGTTCAGTCGTTCTTCCCCCACCGTAGTGGGCCCTCCGTCCGGGTGTGCCTGGGAGGGGCAGGAGGGGGAGCGGGTCCTGGCAGCTGGAGTTCCCAGGAATGCCCTCCTAGGGAATTATCAAACCCAGCGCAAGTCAGCTCTTACAGCAACACCTTTCATAGGTGTTAATGAAAGCAATGTGTACAAATAAATGCTTCTGGTGCTTTACACTACGTTTTGCAGCTTGTTTAAAAATTCAGACAGTGTATGAAAATACACAGCCTAGCCAATTAGGCAGGAAGTAGATGCTGCCTGAGCCCTGTGCTCTGATGGGAACTGTAAAGAAACCCTCTGCACACCCTCCCCCATCCTCCCACCGCCTCGTCCCACCCCGCTGGAGAAGGACAAGGTTAAAGCAGGCATCGGAATATACGGAAGGAAAACATGGGTAACTTGTACACTACCTCAACTTATTCTTGGAAGTATATAAGGTATAAAGCATGAGTGGGGCTGGGTCCTGAGCTCTTCTGATCGCATCATCTGTACCCGCCCCCTAGAGCAGGGAGACCAGGGTCTCTGGGCCCCTGACAGCCTGTTTGACAAAGAGCCACGACGACCTCGTCACACCCAACCTCACTCCTGGGAAAGTTTTTGGTTGTTTCAATTCATATATGTCATTTTCTCTCCAAACAAATGAGATCCCACGCTGCGGTTTTGAATCCTACTTTTAAAATATGGTATCTGCTGGGCCTTTAAATAGTCCGTTTGGGGTGGGGGTGGGGTTATAGTGGGAGTGCCTATAATTAAAAACAGGATTTTGCTTCTTTGCATCTCAGAAAATGGGCTCACCACCCAGGTGGCCTTCCCATCTGCTGGCTCTCTCTGTGGCCCCCACGTCCTTGCCCGGATGTGGTGGCGTCCAGGCTCGGTGGTGCTGCGAGGTCCGCTCGCACGTGGCTGGGTAGACAGCTCGCAGTAACCAGGTGGACCTGCCGGTGCCCGCTCCTAACCCAGCCGCCCCCAGCCCGCAGCCCTGGCTCCGCCCCAGCCCGCCGCTCAGCGCGCATTGGTGCGGCTGGCTGTCAGTCCCTGCGCTCTGGGGAGGGGGCGCCGCCAGGCTGCGGTCCCTCTGCAGAGGGCTGCTCGCGTGCAACGGTGGCTTCCCGGCGGCCTGGCGCCCAGCCCCGCAGCGCCCCCTTTCCCTACTGGGCAGCAAGGACCCCCGGCCAAGGACCCCAGCATCCTCGGTAAGTGAAAGAGGGCGAGGAGGTTGCGGGAGAAGAGGGTGCGGACCAGTGTCTGGTCCACTGATTGCGCGGCTGAGTGGGCAAGAGGTGCCCTCTGGACCCTCGGAATCTGTGCCCCCACCCACCCCAGAGATGGCCGATACAAGAATCGGAAGGTCATTTGTCCGTGGGAATCTCCAGCCAGCTCAGCCTACCTGCCCTCTTAGCCTTACATCCTAGAAGCATGGATTGCAGTAGATTCCTCCCCCCTTCTTTGCCCTTTACTTGTGGGAAATGTGATTTTGGATCTCAGGCATTATAATTGTGCAGATAGCTTGAAGCTGGGTTATCTGTTGCACGCCCCCGGCACTTTCCTTTTTGAGTAGTTTATCCTGCACTCCAGCTCCTGCCATAAGGCGCATCCAGCCAGAACGCGAGACGCCTTCCTGCCGGAGGAAGCTTCGTGGTCTACCTCCGATGCTGGAGAGAACCACTGCTCTCCCCGGGAAGTGGTGGCTCTTTGCCTCGGCGCTTCTCTGCTCAGAGGAAAACGGGAAGGGGTATTTCCTACATCATTAGACTTGCAGTTCTGTCAGTAAATGACAACAGGGACTTCATGACTCCTGATAAAACTACACCTGCAGTTTAAGGACGAATCATTTGCAATCTAACATTCTGCAAAGTTTTAATGTTTACAGACTGCATGTTCCCCATTGCAGTTAGGTTCTTTGTTTGGGTTTTTATTTCTACAGTGTGATAAGTCATTCAAATAGGCTTTTCAAGCAGCTGTCCATGTTAGTTTCAAATGATACATTCCTACACATGATCTAATTTCAATATTTCTGCTAGTTATACATCCCCTGGTTAATAAGAGTTTTCAGGAGCTGAGCACTCACAAGAGGTGAGAGGACTTAAAGGCATAATCAGCAGTAATTCAAGTACTTATGGAAGCATTATGTGAGGAGGAACACTATAAAATGTTCATATTTTAGCTCCATTCTTGTTATAGGATGACTGTGTCTTTCTGTCGGAGGCATGGCATATGTAACACCCAACCTCAGGGAATACTTAGATCATGGAAAATCATAACCAGTTTTCAGAATTTCAGTGTCGTGTGTGGTTCATAGAATCAAGAACTACCCAAATAAAGCTTCAACAGTGAAGGGTTTACATGAAAACAGTCCAAGGAATGAGTCCCTTTGCTCATTTAAGACATTCATCAACTAAAATTCATAGGATTTTTGTTAGAGGATCACCTCCCATCTCTCTTCACTGGTACCATCATGCCATTTTATGGGTTAATTTTAAAATATGTCTTTATAAATAACTAATTGGTTTGCTGGTTGTACAGCTTACCATTTACATTTGGTTTTTAAATCAGCTCCAGAACCAAGAAAACACAATATAAGGAATTTCAAAAGCTTAATTTTAAAATAGCAAGAACTCAGTCTAATCTTAATTCAATTATGAGTTGATGGGCTATATAATGGTTAAATAACCATTAAACTTTTAGTTTAATTTTGGCTAGTGGATCAGGGACAGATTAACATCTTTAAACAACCCATTTTCCTGATGAAACCCTTTCAGAACATGGGCTTTAGAAACAACCTTGGGCCGAATCAGCTGTTACGCACCAGCTGCGAGATCTCTGGCCAGTTGCTTGGCCTCTCCAGCCCGTTTCTCCGTCTGTGGATGGCGATGCCACCGCCTACTCATCTTGGACTGTGGGGGGGGGGGGGTTAGAGGCATATGTAAACGTGCTTAGCACTTCCCAATACACAAAAGTTGTTCCATAAATGTCAGCTATTACTATCTTTCTCTCTTACCTTCATTATGGAAAATGTTTGAAGAGCAAATATTTAGGAAAAACGTAAACATTGTACAACTAAATTTAAGAGTGGAAAATTACAAGTCATGTCGAATTTCCGCAGTGTATGTATGAAAAGTAGCACCTCCCTGAAGGAGCTGCCATATTTAGAACAGAAACCTTATGGCATAATGGCAAGAAGACTGGAGAGTCGAAGTCTTCAGTTCTAACTCTGGCTATGACCTTATCTAACTGTATGGTTTTCAACAGGCTGACTGCCCATTCTGGTGCTCAGTTTCTTCATAAGACGGGAACTTGATTAATCTCAAATATTCTCTAAGATACTCTGCAGCTTCAGAATTCTTTATTGTGTGTAATGAAAATCACACTAGCTTATCCTTACCCTTCATTGTTTATTGATTGACTGATATTAGAGGGAGAGGAAGAAAGAGAGAAACATTGATTTGTTGTTCCACTCACTTATACATTAATTGGTTGATTTTCGTAAGTGCTCTGACCGAGGATTGAACCTGCAACCTTAGTGTTTCAGGACAAGATATTGGCCAGGGCTACTCTTCACTGGTTTTTGTTGTTGTTTGTTAACTTGCCCTTCGATCATAAATAATTCGTAAAGACAGCAAAACTAAAGAATTGATAAAATTGTCAGATTTGCACAAATAATCCAAAATGAAGTTTTAACAAAGCATTAGAGCAAAAATATATTCACGGTGAAATATTTTTGATGAGGCAAAAGTTAACTCCAATTTTTATTCTCCAGTCATTTTCAGCAAGTTTTCTTACAGGAAATGCCTGGTAAAGTCATTTACATTTAACTGAAATCATCTCTCTAGAAAACTGTAGGCTGACAGTGAAATAAAACACCACTCTCTTTTCTCTCATCAGGTTGCTCTTTAAATAAAACAAGTCTCTCAAGTAAAGGGCTTTCATGAAGAAATTAAAGAGAGAAATTACAATTAATGGAGAAACTAGGCATTTTGCATACTGAAGAAACCACCTCAAACACCTGTATGCAATAAAACGAAAGGAGTGAATACATCTAGAAGAAATTTGCTTAGTATAATATTTTTGCCCAGCTTTTTGTCCTAAACGGCTGCTAAAGAAGAGAGAATATCATCTGCTAGTGAAAGAGTGTAATGTAAAAATGGAGACCCGAGTTTCTGAGATTCAAGTAGAAAGCAAGGAAGAGAAGAAAGCAGCAGAAGTTAGTCCTCAGGATGAGAAGCAGGAGGAAAAATCATCGACACTTTGCTTCAAGAGGAGAAAGAAATCAGCCAAAGCAATGAAACCCAAAGCTAGCTCTGAAGCTGGTGATGTGGCAGCAAAATGTCCCTCAGAAGCAGGAGCTCCTGATCAACCACCACCCCCCGGAGGGACCTGGGCCTCAATCAAACGCCTTGTAACACGCAGGAAAAGGTCTGATTCTTCAAAGCAGCAAAAGCCCTGTGAGGCCAAAGTACAACCTGAAATCAATACTGAGGATGCTGCTGTTTCTAAGAAAAAGGCAAAATCCAGACTTAAGATTCCCTGCATAAAATTCTCAAAAGGGGAGAAAAGAAGTAATCATTCCAAAATTATAGAAGATGCAGACTGTAGCATCCAAGTTCAGGAAGAGGCTGAAAGACTGGATACAAAATCTCCAACCCAATCAGATGCCCAAGCAACAAAGACCCAGCTGACCCAGGATGTATGTGGAGACGTCTCACAGAAAGAAGGTGATGAGGTCTGTGAATCACATGTGAGCAACAGCAGTACTTCTCCTGGCGAGGAGGTGATTTCAGTAGAACTTGGGTTAGACACAGGGCATCTGGCTATTCAAACAGGAACTCAAATCCTTGAAAAAGATACTGAAACGACTGAGGAAAAAGAAAGTATCCAGTCCCAGCAAACAAGCCCACTTGAAACTTCAGAAACAGAACATCAGCTACCGGTGGTTTCTGATGCTCCCCCCTCACCTGCAATCCCAGATCAACAAATTGAGGAAGAAGCCAGAAACAGTCCCCTAGAAAGTGGACCAAACTGGAAAGACCATGAAAGTGGAGAGGTTGTAGCTGAAGAGATTAAGCCAAAAGATAATGGATTGAGCCAGGAATCAGATGTTAAAGAAATTGAGATCAGTGCAGAGAGACCCAAAACAGAAGAAAGCAAAAGAATGGAACCAATTGCTATTATTATTACAGACACTGAAGTTAGTGAATTTGATGTTAAGAAATCTAAAAATGTCCCTAAGCAATTCTTAATTTCAACTGAAAATGAGGAAGTAGGGGATTTTGCTGAGTGTGGTTTTGAGGGTAGAACTTCAGAACAGTATGAAACACTCTTAATTGAAACCGCTTCTTCTCTTGTCAAGAACGCCATCCAGTTGTCGATAGAACAGCTGGTTAATGAAATGGCCTCCAATGGTAATAACATAAACAATCTTCTACAGTGACTCAATTTCCAAACCATGGGAGGGGGAAAAGGTTTAATGATGAATTGTTTTACATATCTGTGGCATTTCTTATTAAGTAACAAATGAGAGAGGTTTTCATCTGTGGGATTTAAAAGTGTAATCTCAGCCCAGAAGCACGGAAGAATTCAGTTTATCAAACCCTGCCTACCACTAAAATGCAGTCACTTTTGGATGGAGAAGGTCAGTACATTCACAAGGCCAAGTGAGTTGCTAAATACAAGGAGTTGCTAAAATGGCATGTGGAGATGGGGGTGCCTGAGGGAAGGAAGATGTGTTTATTGAGCACTTACAAAATGCCATAGTCTCTTCAATGTCCTTTGATGTCACAAAGCCTGGTTTCCTTTTGATAATTCAACTCTGTGTATGGGTTAACACTGCATTCAGTTTTCAAAAACATTTTAGTTACAGTGCACATTTATGTTGTTTAAAGTGGTGAATCAGGTGAGCTTTTTGGTGTGAATGTGTGCAGAGGATGTCTAGTCGAATTAAACATTAGTGGTTTTTTTAGTCTTGCTCAAGGCCCTTTAAAAAAAAGCTGTTCACAAATTACTTCAAACGGGCAAATAATTACCAAGTGCAAAGCCGTGGGAACAGGGCGTACCTTTTTGCTCTTCATCTTCTGCCCCAAACAGACTTGCACAAATCTACTTCTGCATGGGATCATCTGATGAAAAGGTAAAAACAAAACAACAGCAACAACAAAACAAAAAGAATAGTATTGTCCTCCCAGGAGAAGGCAAACTTCCCACCTAACGAGCTCTCGTGTTCAGCGTGGATTTGTGCTGCAGGGTCACTTCTCTGAAGACCAGGCTCATCAACTCTCCTCAGAGTGCGGAGAGTGGGTTCAGAGCCAGCCTGGCAGTAAAAGTCCTGGGGAATCATCATAATTTATTTAGTAAAAAAATTACTCATTCTTGACCAAGAATGAGCCAAGCGAATAGAGAGTAAAAAGTTACCTCTTAAGCACATCATTTTAAATGTCAGTGTTCTCTCATTGTGCCTATGTATTGAGAGACACCAGTAAAAAAATTTTACATGGATATGGAATTTTTTTCACCATTTTTTTCATTATAGTTAATCCCTTAACAACAACAAAACTTATAAGGGCTTATTTGCATTTTATTTAATTATTTAAATCATTGATCTCATGAATGAATGCCATGTTTTTTTAAAAGGTGATTCTATTTCAATATTTTCTTGTGGCCACAGTACTGTAAATATCCTTCCTTACCTCCCAGGATGGGCTTCAGATTGTACAGTCCCGCGCTGTCTAAACTCAGTGATGGGGTTATTCTGAAAGCAGGTAAATAATGAAGAGCTTTCACCAGAGTTGTAAGGTATTTGGTAAGAGAGAAAAGAATTTGTTCTTAGAGAAAAGAATGTAACATTAGATGACTTTAAATGATCTGGAGACTTCTTGAATTATTTCTGGATTGCATATAGAGAGTATGTGCTAATTTGTCCTAGAGCATCTTTGTTTCTTTCTGTAAGGACATATTGAGACCTCTGGCAGAAAAATCTAATCTGATTTTGGAACTGAACAATGGATATTATTAGCAAGATTCTTTGCTGAAGTGCAGAAGTATTCCCCTACTTCATGCTTATAAACTTGGGAGGGGGAGCCCACCAAAATCCTTCAATTTGGCAAGATAAAAAGCAAATCATTCAAAACACATGACTTCCCCCTGCAATTTTTTTACTTGTATAACTTTAAACATTAAAAAAAAAAGACTACTTAGTCAGCCTCCCTAATAATCTTTTAAATTCACTATATGGTGCTAATGAACTTGGATAGCCACCAGCAAATATATATTTGAAAGTGAACAATTTAAAAAACCTGATTGAAGTTGGTGCATTTTACAGTGTTTGAAGAACCCTTCCTTCATTAACTGCAAGGGAGGCTCAAGCCAATATACTTGCATTGTAAGTTTTTAATCTCTCATGAACAAGCAAAAAGTACAGCACTTATCAGTTATTGAAAATATTTTGAAAGATTTAGATGTATTTATTTGGGAGTTTTAAAGACAGATACTAGGTTAATATGTGTAGTAAATGGTTTTTTTTGTTAAGAAAGTAACATTTTATCTCTTCCTGTGTCTACACACACTACATACACACTGTGGTTTGATATATATTTTTGATTAGAATGTATTATACATAGTGGATTGTTTTTGTGATGAGAATACTCTGTTTGCATTCATTCTTAAGTGGTTTCTCCTCAGTCTTTTCTACTGAAAATATCTAGTGAATTAAGTAAGTAGGATTCCAGTTTGAAAAAGGAACCCAGACATTAATTGGTTTCAATCTGATTAGGTATATCTTCCATGTAGATTAAAACCTACAGTGAATTCTGAGATGACCCAAATTGTTTTGTTTTATAGAAATAACTAGGAATCAGATAACTAAGAAATCACTCTTAAGATTTTTTATTATAGCATTTTAAGCAATTTGATTTTATATGTAAGACATTAAATGAATATAAATAGGTTCTTATTCAATTCACAACCCTTTGACAATATTAAATCAATCATTTAGAAGGCAATTTAATAACAGCACATTAATTTTCATTTAAATGTGCTGTGGCATAAACATTGCCTTCAGTAAACATTAATTGGTGGGGGATTCAGTTGCTTTGAACCCAGAAGTTTACAGGGCTGGTTGGTTTACTTGGTCGGCTTTTCAGCATATTGCCTTCCTCCTGTCAAGAACCAAGTATCGTTCAGTTTGCTTTACAACCCAGAGAATACGAAAATCCTCCTCTATTTTATGTTATATTATTCACTTCACATTTTCTCAAAGTGCTTTATAGGATATAAAAACAGTACCTGGTAACATTTAGGCAAAGGCAGCGGGAAACAAAAGAACTTTCAAACAGAAGCTACGTGGCCTCCTCCGCTTCAAACAACACGGTAATAAGCATATGGCCCAAATGGGGCTCTTCAGGAAAATCTGTCTGCACAATTTCCCTTCAAGGTAATCTATTTGACAATACAAAATCTGTGATGATCTTAATTGGACTACTATTCAATAATGTCTTAGAAACTCTGATTTATTTCTAAGAGATTGTGTTTCTTCATAAGCTCGTGTGATCAGCCTTCCTGCCAAAGGCTTTTACAGACATGGATTATATATAGCAGGGCATGCCGTCCTGAGTTAGCTTCATAAATGTATGACTTCAAGTTGCCTTATATTTTATAATTAAGAGCTATTTTTTCTCAGGACTAATAATGGAGTTTTAAAAATAATTGTTAAACTTTCAAATCCCATTGTTGGAAAAGATCCTTTTCACGTCAACCTTATTTAATTAGGTAAAGTCTTTCTAATTTCATCTGACACTTAATACATCAGGGGTTGACTTTTCTGCCCATCATTTAAGGTTTAGAATTCTTTAGGTTCAAATTCCAGTGATATTTTATTATATAACATAAAAAGTTTCTTATTTTATAGGATTCAAAATTTTGATGTATAGTACATTTTATGGTGCACTTTTGAAAAGAATTTTTTGTAATCCCTACTTAGTTATAAATATTTAACAGAAGGAAGCTATATAAAATGTAGATGTCATGATTAAATTCAGTTCGACTCCACATGTGCTGGGTGTAAGATACGCCAAACACTCTGACGCAGGGACAGGCTCCCTGCCCTCCAGGAGCTCAACCTGAGGAGCGGCACCGACAGGCTCCGGGTCAGGGCTGAAGGCACAGAGCCACGGGCAATGCAGGATCTCAAGTGCTAGGAAAGGGACAATAAAAAAAAGACAAATTTATCTGGTGTGGGGAGGTGGTCATATAAATACAGGCACAGATTGAAAGCATTCAGTTTCTAAATAGTTAAATGGTATATTCTGGTTTGTGAAGAAAAAGCCTGCATAATGTTATATATATTTATAGTAGTTCTTTGTGCAGTGTTAAGTGGATGAGCTGTTATGAAAAGTAAAAATTCCATTTCGTATTTCTATATTACTGTGGGTCAGATGCTAATAATATTCAAGAAATACTCTAGAAAAAAGGCTTCAACCTGAACACATGTATTGACTATTAATACAGACTTAATATTATACTGGCTCATGTTTATTTTATGTATCCAAATCTTTTCATAGAAATGTGGTACATTACTTTCTTTTCTTAAAACTGTAAAGACTGCCCTGGCTGGAGTGGCTCAGTGGATTGAACGTGGGCCTGTGGGCCAGAGGATTGCGGTTCGATTCCCAGTCCGGGCGCTTGCCTGGGTTGCAGGCCAGTTCCCAGTGGGGGACGCATGGGTGGCAGCCATGCATCGATGTTTCTCTCCTTCTCTCCTTCCCTTCCCCTCTGAAGATATATAGATAAAATCTTTAAAAAAGAAAAAAAAACTGTAAAGACCACGCTGGTGAACTACTGAAGCAACACCACAGAAAAGTTCTCCTCTGCTGATTGATTGGGGGTGGGGCCAACTGCACCACAATGGGCCTCAAAGAGCCCGCCTTCAGCAAAGAGAAACACAGACACCTAGACCTGGAATTCAATTTCACTGAACTAATCCCATGTGAAGGGTGATTCTGACTTTGATGCCTTCTGTGAACTGGACAGAAAAGTACACTTGTTTCCATCATCTCTCGCTATAGTTGTTTCTACAGTGTATTAAACTATAACAATAATATTTATGGTTTTCTAAATAACCAAGCAATCTTGATGTGAAAATGCTTAAATTATTCAGATGATGCCTGCTAAAGCTGAGTATTTCCAAAGTTCTGTTTATTAAGACACTGATTTTATTCCCCTCATGTTGACGGCCCAGTTTTTCCTTAAGCACTGACCAGTGATAATAATTGGACTCTATGCAATAGTGCACTTTCCAGTCTCTGGACCAATTTAAAGTTGATAGAGTCTTAAATGTGCTAAAACTAAACCTCATTCCAAAGCAAAATGTTTTATTCATGTACAAACACTGTACGTAAGGTATTTAATATTTTACATTCAGTAGAATTTTTAGTTAAATCACTTTTTTTCTAGTATAATAGATGCAATACCTTTCGTAAAACTTGTCCTCACAGGCAATTCTAATTTCTTTTTGATCTACTTCTAATGCTGGAGTCTGGAGCCCCCAGCCCCTTTGTGGGTATCCACTTCTTTTTCTCCCTGAAAGCTTGAGACCTCCAGGGGTCAAGTTCCTGAGCTTAGGAAAGAGAGTGATTATATGTGTGTTTCTATATGAGCCCACAACACAGCCAAGAACACCCTGAGCAAAGCTGGGCTTCGCACCATGAACAAGAAAAATCTAGGTGAGGGGAGGATGGTGCTGTGGCCCCTAGCCTGAAAACTGCTAAACTTGACATTGTCTCTAAATCCCAAGCTATCATAACAGCAACAGTGTTAGTGTCCAGCCGTTTTTGTACATTTGCAAAACAAGATACATTTCTCCACTCATCTGGTGACTAGGCTCAAACAGGACTTTCCGTCTTGATCTTTCTGGTAGGAGTTAAACCTGTTGTGTACTTTTCACAGCTATACTTGTGGCCATAAACCTCAGGCCTCTCACTTCCGCACTCCTGGGAGATGGGAGCACGGGGTGAATTAAAAGCAGATGCAGTCATTTGTACACTTGTACTCACACCTTTCATTCCCAAATCTCTACTTTGACATCTGTACCTTTAGGTCACAGGAGGCCTGGTCAATATGGCTACAGGTGGGTCTCTGGACCACATCTGTGATCCATTACAATCATAACACAGCTACAGGCACACAAGTTCAAGTCAAATATCCTCATGTATAAATTACAATGAGGATGTTTCATTTGCAGCACAAATTCTGTTTACATGGGTTATCCAAAACCAGAGGACTTCCAGACTCCTGGTCAGAAAGGCTGGACGTGTCCTGGTGCTCTGTGGAAGGCTGTGGTACACCACACAACAGGTCGTATGGTTGGTCACTACTTAGTTTAGGTGAAGAAGTCAACCTGTTTTTCTGATCTTTTATTGAGATGTACCACAGTTTCATCAATAATTTTGTTAATTTCAGAGTGAAATTGCTTAGAATTATTTTCCGTTTTATGGATTTACTATACTCTTAATGTCTGACCAATGTGCTTTTTCTGACCTGGAAGGTTGAATTGTGAATGATAATCAATATGATTCATTAAGCTCTAAGGCCTTTCCATATTTATCTGAGCAGTCTTTTTCTCCATTTAAGATATAGTTTACATACATATATCTACCCTTTTTAGTGCAGAGGTCTAAATTTTGACAAATAGTGTATATACAGTTGTGTCACCTAGGGAGTATTAGTTTTTTTATCCTGATTTCACTGTTCTTTATATACCTATGTATTTTGGCTTAATATAATTTCCTGGATACATCAGTGAAAACTGCTGCTTCCTGCAGAAATTCAAAGTAAGGGCTTCTTAAACCCAGCACTTAAACCAGGGTAAGGAAAGGCAGGGATGCTGGGCACAGCTTTGAAAATTCTGCCCCACCCAACTCCAGGAGAGGCATTCATTTCATAGTGGTGCCCCCTAGCGTTTATTGTGCATAATAGGCTTGGCCATACATGGTAGCTCTGAACACAACCACCAATTAATTTTGAGATCTCCAAAAACTGTAGTGTTAACACTGACACAGGAAATGTTAAAAAAAAAAAAAAAGTCCTCCATTTATATACCTTTCCTCCCCCAGTTTAAAATATTGTGATAGTCCTGACCTGTGTGGTTCAGTGGGTTGAGTGCCTGCCTACAAACCAAAGGGTTGACAGTTCAGTTCCCTATCAGGGCACACGCCTGGGTTGCCAGCCAGGTCCCTGGATGGGGGCATGTGGAAGGCAACTGATCTATGTTCCTCTTGCACATTGATGTTTCTCTCCCTTGCTTTCTCCCTCCCTTCTCCTCTAAAAAAATTAAATTAAAAAAATATATATTGTGATAAAGAGAGAGGACAGGAGTCCTGACTGCTATGGCTCACCCGGTTGGACGTCATCCTGCCAAGGGGAGGGTCCCTGATTCCTGGTCAGGGCGCACAACTGGATTGCGGTTTGGCCCCAGCCGCAGTATGTGGGAGAGGCAACTGATTCATGTTTTTCACCCTATCTTTCTCCATCCTTTCCCTTCTCTAAAAATTAAATTAAATTAAAATCTTTTTTTAAAAAGGACAGGAACAGCTGTGCTCACAACACCACACTTTACACATGCAAAAAGGCCAACATGAGAGATGCGAATTGGTCCAGTAAAGACTGTTAAGACTTACTCCACTGGAACTTTTGGCCTGCATTTTGAAACCCTTCCCCTTATCTTTGCAATTTTTTACCTTTTCCAAAGAACTACCATATAATCTTTAAATTTTCCTCCCTACAGGGCACTTACTACCCATTACCCAAACAAAAAGTATTAATACTTTCCCTAGCTATGGTCTGGACTAAGCACCACACTGCTTCCACTACAGAAAAATGTGGCAGAGCTAAATTCACAAGATCTTGTTCCTTAAAGGTCTGCTTGGTCCACACAGATCTTACATGGACCTTCCTGGAGCTCAGTAACTACGTCACCAGACCTGGGCTGACAGCTACGGCTGGCGAAGGAGGCCTCCCCTCCCCCCATCCCAGGAGAGCAGGGACCAGTTCAGTTGTGCAGAGAACCCCTCCCTAGCACTGCTATTCCTTCAGATTTCTGACATGAAAGGACACAATAATTTTTAATAGCTTAAGGGAAGGTACTTTATTTCCATTATTTCAGTACAATATCGCCAAGTTGTTTCATTAAAAAACTTTCGCCCTGGCTGGTGTAGCTCAGTGGATTGAGCACGGGCTTGCCAACCAAAGCGTTGCCGGTTCAATTCTCAGTCAGGGCACATGCCTGCGTGGCAGGCCAGGTCCCCAAAATGGAGTGCAACCACACATTGATGTTTCTCTCCCTCTCTTTCTCCTTCCCCTCTCTCTAAAAATAAATAAATAAAATATTTTTTTAAAGTTTCAAAATTGTATAAATGCTGGAAGAGAATTTATCTGAGAGGAAGTGGGTTCATTCTCCAAGTTGGCTAATCAGCTGTAAACTAAATTTAAGAGAAGTCTTTGGTGATTAGGTACAAAGTCCTAGGATGATGATAATATTGCAGGTAGAAATGATGTGGATGGGCAAAAGAGGGCAGAGTATATTCCTTCAGAACTGGAAGGCCCAGAGAACTGGAGGCAAAAGAACTCTACTAAAGAACGTCTCACCTTACTCAGAGATTGGAACTGATTGAAAGGAAGTGAAGGAATAAAGAAAACCTGTGTAGAAAGTCAGTTGTTGAACTGTAGTTGAAAAAGTAAATTCCATAAAATAATATACAAGTTATTAAAATAACTCACAGGTTATGGGTGTGAAGGAATAAGAGGTAATCTTTCAGCTGAAACCACCATCTTCCATTAATTCACCAGTAATTAATGAAATAATTACTTCCATTCTTCCATTAAGACAAAGGGAAAGAGAGGCACCCGCTATATGTACTTCAGGCCTTTTAGAAAACATGGTTCCTTTGGCCTCATATGTGCAAATCTACAAGAAAGGCGATACTGCAGGCATCCAGGGATGGGCACTTTTCAAAGAGGAATGGCCCACAAATGTTACCAGGGCTAGACTGCAAGAGTCTACAATGTCACCCACCATGCACTGGGCACTGCTGTACACAAACAAGTTAAGGGCAAGATTCTTGACAAGAAAATTAATGTCCATACTGAGCATATTAAGAGCTGAGAGAACTTCCTGAAACGAGTAGAAGAAAATGATCAGAAAAAGGAGGAAGCCAAAGAGAAAGGTACCTGAGTTCAATGAAGCACCAGCCTGCTCCACCCAGAAAGGCACATTGTGGGAACCAGTGGAAAGGAGCCCATTCCCTGCGAGTTCATGGTGTGACAAGTGTAAAAATTTAAAAAGATATCTCTACTGGAAGAAGGAGGAGGAAAGAAAAAGAGGAGGAGGAAGGAAGAGGAGGAAGGAGGAGGGAAAAGAAAGAGGAAAGAAGGAGGAAGGAAGAAGTTGAAGGAAGAAAGGAGAAAGGAGAATGAGAAGGGAAAAGGCAGTAGGAAGAGGAATAAGAGGGAGAAGGAAAAGGAAGAAGAGGAGAAGGAAGAGGAAGACAGAAAGAAAAGGAAAGAAAAGAAAAGAAAAGAAAAGGAAGAAAGCAAGCAAACCAAGAAACAAGGATTTACTCGAATGAACTCGGACTTCTCTCTTGATCGGTACAGCACTAAAAACTCTTATCAGTCTGATGCCTGATTAGAAAAGCAAATGTGATTGGGACTAGAATTCCAAGGTCTAACTGTTAAAGGCTCACAAGAATTCTCAGAAATGCTCAATATAACAGCCACAATAAGTGTGATATTTTTAAAAAGGTATCTGCTGCATCTCAAAGGGGAGTGTCAAGACATTGTAGCACCTAATGTACCATGGAATTCTAGGAAAACCCTCCGTCTGACTCTACAAAGTAAAGCAAGATCCAGGCATAACTGAGTACTAAATAAACAGTGAAATAGTGATGCCAAATTTGAACATAAGGTAAAATAGATTCTTAAAAAGTACATTAGTGCCACCTTTTGGCAAGATTAAAAATTTACACAAATTACAACCTACAATCATGTTTTAATTTCACAGAGACCTTGTTAGAGACACAACTGTTTAATTCAAACATTACACGA